ATGTAATGCGTAATTTAAAAACTCGCTGAAAATCAAACACACACACACACACACACACACACACACACACACACACACACGCACACACACACTTATATATATGCTTCAATCGCTTGTTGCTGTTTGTATTTATCGTCTTGGAGGATTTTGCGCAATCAGCTGGAGCCAACTTTGTCTATGTATACCTCGATTGGAAAAGTCCAACAACTCTTTCTGATCAAGCCTATCCCTCCTGGATTGGGGCTCAGAAGTGGGGGTGTTCGTCTTTGCCGAAAAGGTAACGGAAGTCTTTGCAGGACGTTTTACAGTTATTTCACCGTCATTCCTCTGCAGATGCTGGCCGTGTTTACTCCAAGGAGGACACGTTGATGAACAAGCAGGGCCAAAACATGTGGAGCTGTAGAGAGGGGTAAAAATATTAAAGAGAACGTATGGAATGAGCTCACTATAAATAAGTGGCGGGCTCTGCACTTTGTCCCTTCTTGGCCATCTTCAATGGCGACTTGGCCTATTTAATCCAGCTCTTAATAACAATGCTTGCATCTCACAATCAAGAATTAGTCTATAGAAAGGCATACAGCAACACACAACGACACCACAAACTCGTCTGTGTTGATTACTTTTTGCTCTAGCAAATTTAGTCTCAAAGTGTGTGCCGCTATCTTGTGGTCAAGGGTGGTATTACACCTCAACAAGAGCCCAAAGTAGGAAAAAAAAGGGGGGGGGGGTAGAAAAAAAATCACCTACAAGAGCGGGACTTCGAAGCCAAGGGTATTGCTGTAAATGTTTTTTTTTAACCACCCAAAATACTCGATCCATTTTTCTTTTACCTGTCAGCACCCAAGAGCTTCTTTTGATTTCTTTCGTAGGTGACACCCTCGAGCCTATACGAAGGCATGTCAACTCCTTTCCTTTTCAGGGGAGCAGACAAAGGAGCGGATGAAGGGTGGGTAGGATGAGGAAGCTGAGGATGATCTTTTGCTTGTTTGGAGGACGCCGACAGACGAGGGATTAAAGGTGACAGGCGGTCAAATACGCTCATTCTTCTTTCGCCTGCTGCTTTTTACGTTGGGGAAATGAGATGAGAGTGCAACCTGATGAAGAATGAAATAAAGAAACATTTGGAGGAGGCTAGCCAGTCCTAATGGGAAAAAAGGCAATCAACGAAACAAATCCAGGTGTACAAATACAGACCCATTCATCCATTTATTTTTAGAGGCAGACCAGCATTTAGACTAAGTGCTCAGTGAACCTATGCTGATAGCTGCGTAGTCGGGCGAGTGGAACTGTGAATACGCCATCACAAAGAGACATTACTCAACATTTTAGCATTACTGTACACTCAACACAATTTTATTTTTACTTTAAGAACAACCACACCTACACCAATCACTTTCACTACTGGAAGTGGTTCGCTTTGTCTTTCAGAGTAAGAGCATGATACAAGGTACCGCTATCTTAAATTAACTGTGTAAATGTTGCTAACTGAAACAGCAGTCTTAATTTTTTGGGGGAACCGGAACCAGATTTTGAACAAACTTGTTCTTGAACCCTGCCAGTTAGCCTAACGTCTGTCACTACCTGCCACCTCACAGATTTACACACGCACAAAAAACATTTAGGAGATTACATAATAATAATTAGAAAAATAGTTTATATATTTATTTTTACTAAGGGTGTGCGTCTGTCCAATGAAAGACGATTCGATACGTATCTTGATACATGTGGTGCGATACAATTCAAGGACGGCTGATTTTAAAGTGGAACGAATGCATTTGATACGGTAGAGTTCAGTTCCAGAGGGAATGATGCAATAAGTTTCTTGGCATTTTTACAATATGACTGAATACTGAATTTGTTAGTCCTATCGGGGTGTAATGGGCAGTTTATCATGTGGTTCGGGTTGTTAGGGGTCGAAGAATCGATGAATGTGTCTGAAATCTGGCTCGGCGCCAGAGTCATTTCCTGACTTGACCTATTTGTCGTCCCCTTCTGATTTAGAGAGATTGTTACACAGTACTGTAGTTTTACGGAGGAACAAGTGACTCGGAAAAAAAGGTTATTATAGTTAATGAAAAATAACAAAAAAAATAAAACTACAATTGGAAAAACAATTTCGTTAACAAAATAAAATATTTTAGGAAAAACAAAAATGCTGAAAAAAGAAAACTAACAGAAACTACAACTTATGCTCATAAAAGAAATTATTATGATGGCATAAATGTCGTCTTTGTCAAATAATATCATACATGAGCTTTTTGGGGTTCATTTTATCGTATTTATATGAGCAAAACCAACTCCAATGAAATATCCCAAACTATTATAACCATACATGGCAGTAAAAGTCACTAACCTGCACATGGAGGCTGTTGTCTGGTTGTTGTCAGACTTGAGTGAGGAAAAGGAGACAAATAGCGTGACGAGAGAGGACACAGTGGGCATCGTGGGCGGACAGACGCCATTCTCGTGATTCCTGTACACTGAGCCTGCACTGTTGTTTCGCACCCACACTGCATCCTTGCCTGCTGTCCTGCTCTTGACATCACACATACTCATCACCACTTACAGAACATATTTTTTATTTTTGGTGTGAAAAGATAAGGAAGCACATGATAGTGGAATGACTCACCCACAGTCAATACAACAAAAGATCTCTCGGGATGCCATTTTCTGTGATCTACAAACATACATCTGCTACTTTTATAGGTCACACATTGTACTATCGTCACTACTACACTGTCACACAAACCATCCACATGCGTCTCAGAATCTGTTGTTGTGTCAAGATTTGCAGCAGGGGTGGGCAAACTTTTGGGGTTCAAGGGCCCCATTTTACTTTGAAAACAGACACATGGGGCAGGTGATTTGTAGAAGAGGTTGGGGAGAAAAAGAGCTAAAATGTTTTTTCTATGCATATATGTTTAAATAATATCAATAAATGTATGAATTAATTTTGTTCCATCAATTAGTACATTTTAACATATACATTTATTATTCACAATAAATCACCAAATATTTAATTAATAAAATACCAACGAAAAAATAAATTCATTAAATAATTTTAGCAACAACAACAACAACACAAAAGAGCCAAAATTCCTGCAAGCAATATTACAGGACTCTTGCTAATGTAAATGCTTGACGGGCCAGTCTTGGCCCCGCAGGCTGTACTTTGCCCACCCCCTGATTAACAGCGTCAACGGCCACAACATTAAGTACACATGACAATTGATGTGATTCAATACAAAAAAAACCCATCCTTTACAAAGATAATCATGCACAGTTTTGATTGGTTGTCTGTTTGCAGTGGTTGTAAAATGGCACTGTGTCATCTGGACATTCGGCTGTTTGTAATATTTGATCTTTTGCAGCTAAATAAAGCAACAGAAACATGAAGAACATCACAAGAGTTTGACACCACACTAACCGCCATGATACACAGATGGGGTTGTTAAACAGAACTAGAGATGCATGGTCGGAAGCAATTGCAATGTGTCCCAACAGATATCTTCTAATTGTTAATGATACACAGCAAAGCACCAATTTATTCATTGCCTAATTTTGGGATAAATGTGTATATATTAAATGGGTCTTGTTTAGCATGAAAATTACACAATGATGTGCCAAAGTAATGTTTAATTGAGGTTACCATGATGCTTTCGAATGCTTTTTCATAATTGTCAGAAAATTCAACATGTAAAAACAAAATAACTGTTTAGTTTTTTTTTTTCCATATCCCTTAACACAACTTCTCTCTTGTGTCATTCCCAGCTAAAAAAAACCCATTCAACATGTAATTAATTAACTGAACTCAGAGTAGGCCTATAAATAACTTTGGGCTTACCTCTTTTGGCTGCATTAATATTCACAGCACAAGTCTAACGCAAAGGGCAGTCTGTCACTACGCATGGGTGGAAATTTTCTTTCTTTTTGGTATTTTGCGTGACTTTCCACAGGTAGAATTGGGCATAACGGGGCGTTTGTGGGATGGTACCTAGCTGAGTCCCAGGAATTGCAATGGCATCCCTTATTGGTATTAAAATCAGTGTGGTCGGATCGCACGCCGAACTTAACATTACGGAAAGAGAAATTGACTAGCTGGGGTTGAATTTATGAGGAAAAAGCCATAAAAAATTGTGGATCTTTTTTTTTTCTTTTTAAAGTAATGTTGAGATATCAAGTAATGTTGGAAAAAACTAGCAAATAACCCCCATATATATAGAGTGTGTGTTTAATGGCTATACATAGATGAGTTTCACTTTTTGGATTGAACTACTGAAATAAACCTTTCTACAACCAACACATTTATTGAGATGAATCTGTTTTTGAATATGATCCCAATAAAACTGTGAGCTGTTTTATGTGCAAAACAAATCTCTAAAGCAATGGTAGACGGGTGTAAAAATAAAAGATAAGTACTGGCTCTTGATGGATTATGCAAGGTTGCCGCAAGTGTCTTATATGCCACTTGAAAAATAGGAAGAACTCAATCAAAACCATTATACACTACACTTGAAATGGTAGCCCAAACAAACAAAAAGAAAAAAACAACAGCGCATGTTAAAAAATGGCACAAATGGACAATGGCATGTTGACATCAAGCCTATCAAAGGCCATCATGCCCCTCCACAATCTCGTTCTGGCATCATTTACAGTCAAACTCATCTGTTTCACTTCAGTCTGATTCACCCCGGGAAAAAAAAAACAACACAATATGCTTGGGATCAGAGAAAAGTTGTTGTGATGGGATAAGGCTTATCAGATCATCCCTCCTCTTTCCATTGTTGAAGCCCCCCTCCCCCCCACCCAGCCCTCCCATGGGATCAAATGAGAGCATCCGTGTCATCATCTCTGCAGTTCACACTTGCCACCAGTGGGCGATGTCTGGTGCTTTTTTTGCTCCACATGTGTGTGTCGTGCAGCCCGGGCTCCAGGAAGTACAGGCACGCTCCGAAGCCCGCCAGCACCAAGACTGAAACCAGCAGGTAGAGTGGCACAAACCAGTCCAAGAACAACCACGACATGGCTGGGGGCTTCGGAGGTGGGGCGGGTCCGAAACGGCTGAGGCGGAAGAAGCGGGTCTCCATGTTGGGAGAGAGGAGAGACAAGAGTTATTCTGTGGTGCTAAAACAACAACAAGAAAATAGCACTCAGTGCATCATGATTTAATACACAGGTGTCAAACTCTGTTCCTCGAGGGCCGTATTCTGTATGTTTTAGCCGTTTCCCTCACACACCTGACTCACACAATCAGGATCATTGTACGGCTCCTGCAAAACTTGCCGATCATAGGATCAAGTGTGCCGGGGGAGGGAAATTTCAAAAACATGCGTTATAGCAGCCCGCAAGCACCGGGGTTTGACACCTGTGATTTTAAACTTCAATTCATTGTGCTGCTCCTTCTTTATAACAGTCCTCCAGAGCCACCATTATTCTCACTGACTCAATCACCTTAAATAATGTGTATGGTATGTTCACTGAAGACTGAACTGTGCACAAGTGTGAATGTGTTGTCTATGTTTCCAGCAATTGGGTGGCATTCACTCAAAGGTGTACCCAGTTTCTCACCCAAAGTCAGCTGGGATAGGCTCCAGCTCGCCAATCACCCGAATGAGGATGGATGGATGGAATGAATTCACTCTGCATTATTTTCCAAGGGGGAATTACTTTTGAAATTTGAAATTAGTCAGGGAACACAATGAGCTGTCACGGTATTGAGTAAGTAATGCGTGCCTCGTCAAAGATGTTTCCACAAATCTGAGCCAATGGGGAATTCAACACGCAGAAGATGACAAGACACGTAACATGCATGTATATCTGATTCCGAAAATCACTTGCATGCTCTTTCCAGACATCCTGAAAACAACGACGACTGAACACAAGTGCTCACCTGTGCACACGGCCGGACCGGCACGTGAAGGTGTGCGGCTCGGGTCCGCAGTCAAATCCGTCAGCACGGGGCAAGACGGACCGTCGCAGCTCTCAGAGTGGCACGCAAACAGAAATGAAGTCCAGAAAGACGACAGGTGCTCTCCGAGAAGCACAAGAGACAGATGCTGCATGCAGCTTCATCCTCCGAGCTCATGCCTCTGACGTTCAAAGGAGGGGTGCGGTTGCCATGACAACACCCCTGCTCATGGCAGAGAGGAAGGAGGGAGTGGGAGGGAAACTTATATAACTATCATCTTTGTGTGTGGTGCGTGTGTGTGTGTGTGTGTGTGTGTGTGTGTGTGTGTGTGTGTGTGTGTGTGGGAGGAGACGGGTGCAAGCCCTTCAGATGTCTTCGGCTTGCCGCGTAAAATCAATTGCACTCAATTTAACACCCAGGGCCAACGCGCAGTTGCAGTGACACGAAGAAGGAGGAATGTGGTGGTGGTGGTGGTGGTGGTGGGGGGGGGGGCTGTCATATAGACGATGACTGAAAGCGGCCGCACTGATGTTTAAGAGTAAAAGCTGATGGATGACTATTGCTCACGAGAAAAAGACAAAAGCTCAGCACAAACAAGTTTAGCGCCTATTTTTAGCCGAGGAAGGGGATTCATAAAAAGCAGCCGGATGACGGGAAGGTCATAATGATGACATTTACAAGCAGGAAATGATGATGTGACACTTTTAAGACGAGAAGAAAGGTGCGTTTTTCTTCTGCATCTTAATGTTGCGAAATGCCAGGCACTTTTTAAAGGCCACTGTAAAACAGCAGCTTTTTCTGATGCTGTGTCTGTGCCACAGGTGGGGTGTGTTGTACACATTTGGTCATTGCAGCCGACTGTCATGATATTTCCTGGTGTTTACAAATTGGAAATGATAATGACGAATGACATTTTACTTTTATGGCTTCAAAGCGCAGTCGATTTTTCTACAAGCCACGATTGTATTGGGCAGAATACTGCTGCAGGGATGGAGCTGAAGTTACCATGGCTGATATCGTGTTGTATCAACAGCGCCCCTGCTGGTTGCAGCTAAGTCATGCACGCATTTCCACCGCTTCAAGACACTACGCTAAGCAACACTCAATTCCACAATACAGTACCTAACAGTTTCTTAAAGACAAATTAACCTTTTGCAGCCACTGAATCCGAAAAAATCCTCATGCAGTGTGGCAAAACAAATCCAACCATCAATTTCCTGTCTGTGTCATCCCATTGCACACACGTCCCCCTCGCTGCACACGTCGAGCAAAATGTCACCCATTCATCCATTATCCGAAGTTCTGAACCGCTTATGCTCGAGGGTTGCGGAATTTAAAAACTTAATTAATCTTAACGGTCGTGTCCCAGCAGAGGACGGTCGGCGTATCAAACGACACAGTTGAAAATAGACTGAAATAATAAAAATTCACTTTCCAGCAGTTGAAATGGTCCAGATCATTACTTTCTGCAGTGGGCTGGTGAAAATGTCACTCTTATGTCTGATTGATGCTGACAATATGTTGGATTAAAAAGTATGATGGATGTGTTTTTGGTCATATGGCAACATACTTCCATGCACCCTGTAAGCTGATAACCTGACAAAATGTCCGCTGTAGTTACCGCTGTCCCTGAAAGAAAGGGTTAATGCAAATGCACATCCACATACAGACTTGTATGTCTTTAGCTAGTGTAACTAATGAAGTGCCCAGTGTAGCCTCGAAAAACAACTACAACGAAAGGAAGCTTGTATGTTTGATGTTTGATGGTGTTTCCAGCCTCCAAAGTGTTGCGGCCGACAACAAAAAGACACTTGGCCTGCTGGGGCCCAAAATGTTACGCTTCATTTTTAAAAGGGATGAACATCGACTCACAGAATGAAGCCGACGGTCTTTGGGGTTTGGAAGACAAATCCTGCCAAAAGAGATGCACAGCCAGCACACGGAGGGGCAAAGGAAGTGAGATTATTTCCTGTGAGAGGACGAGAGGAGATAAAAAAAAAATTCAGCCATTTCGCATTTTATGAGCCCCTCCATCCAGAGCAGCGTTAAACTTCAAGCCATCACCGCAAACGAAAAGATGCCTCCGACAAAATGATGACACATCAGTGCGTCTGATTTTATTTTATTAGCCCAAAGTGTCCCACATAATCGTTTGACTGCCGCCACCAAAGAACTTGTTAATTCACTGCTCGCTGGAGAATTGCAAACATTTGTATTACGAATTCATCAAATGCATTCGCCACAATAAATGTGATACATATTACAGTACACTGTTTGTTCAACACATCCAGCCCATGCATCTGTTTAGAGCAGTGGTTCTTAACCTTCTGAGAGGTAGCGAACCAAACCAGTTACCGGTAATATGCACATTCATCGAACCCTTCATTAGTATATATATATATATTTTTTTTTTTAATTGTACGGGACGTACTATCACGACAGTCACACGTTGACTAATAAGCAAACTACATTTCCTACAGCACTGATTGGACAGCCAGTGATGGCCAAGGGGGCGTGTCATAACTAATTGACATGTTGAGCCGGGTGTGTCTAAACCTTCATGTCAGAGGCTCCGTCGAATCCGTGAGACCGATTCACCGAACCCGTGAGACCGATTAACCGAACCCAGGTTAAGAACCACCGGTTCAGAGAGTAAAACAAATCAAAATGTTTCTCCACAGAATCCAGCACACTTAACTACACAAAATAAATACATGAATAAAAACAAACCTTGAAAATAAAGTTTTGCCCACCCAAATATCACACGGGCAGACCAATAACAAGATTAGATCCAGCTGTGCTGTTTTTTTGTGGCAAGATGGCAGAATCCTGGTTTAGATGGATAAAAACGGGTGGATTTTGCCTCTTAATTCATAATCCATAAAAGCAATATTAATAAGAATACCGTGTTTCAACTCCTGGGACCTCAGAACATATGATTATAAAGAATATTTTTGAGTTGGCTTCCCCTTTAAGCGTGCACTCTTTCACACAACTACAAATTTCTTGTTGGCTGAGCTCAGGGCAGGAAATTGTACGACCTTACTTGGAGCACTTGGTGTCAAATAAATCAAATAGAATGGAGCACGAAAAAAGGGAAAGTTCAAAGACTGGTTGAACATTCCAAACAGCGGGACCCTGACATTTAAAACGGTTCTTTTTCACCTGAAAAAAAAAATTACAAAATTGCGAGACCCACACACAATGTTGATGCAGTCTCAAGTGATTAATGAGAGGAACGACATTTCGGAGAGGAGCGTTACATCATACTTTGCTTTCAAATTAATTGCAGCTCTAATGACATCCCAGTGGCTTATTACTGACTGATTGGATGCGATGAGAACCAAGAGGTTTCCTTAACACTCGTGGGGGGTGTGAAAAAGCAGTGTCAGCATAAATCGGGTGGACTTGGTCGTTAGTGGAGTGTGTGTGTGTGCTTGTGTGTGCAGTGTTTTACTCGCCCAGGCTGTGATCCTCGCTTTCGTCCAACAAGACCTGTTATGGGAGATTATCTTGGAAACACAGTTACAGAAAATTCAAGTAAGCTTTAAAAATGATGATGCCACACAGAATCACCGCTACTGTAGACAACAAAGACTTCACTTCTTACTTACTGATGCTTTTGTTCATTACATTTCCTAGCAATGTACCAGACTACTTCAAACGTTGCAAAGCGATATTACATTTTAGTGCAGCAACAACAATTAATGGCTCTTATATAGTATTTCCATTTGTAGTCATTTATCTGTGCAGGACTACTTGTTGCTAGGCAGAATTTGCGGGTCACAGTAATTTGCAACACAAACCCATTCATTCCATTCATCATTTCCATATTCATAATTCGGATTGGGGGTAAATTGGAGGTAATCCCACAGAGGCGGGGCGCACCTTATCAAAGAACCAATCATTCACACCTTTGGACAACTTATTGTCTTTAATGAAGCTCACATGCATGTTTTTGAAATGTGGAAAGAAGACACACAACCCCTGAGATTTAAATGCAGTTTTATCTTGAAGTGGTCGCTGCCCAACAGGAGAAAAAGGACAGGGAGAGATGGTATGTCCAGTAAACTTCATTGTGGGTTCCAGGTTTGCGAGACTGCTATTTTTATTTAATTTAAATGCATCCTTTTGATTGAGCAAACATTACAAAATCCAACAGCTGGCCTTACATGCACATATTTTTTCCAGGCATTTTGATCCAAGGTTTTTCCATTTAAATAGTAAACCAAAAACAAAACTCCTCAAACGCATTGGGACATTTAACCGCATCTTTTGAAAGCCTTGTAAGACAAAAGAAGTAGAATTCAAGGATACAAAATGCTTGCGATGCAAATGAGAAATCCTCCAAAGACCAAAGCAGCCGGACCACCTTGCTAATGTGCAGCCCCTGAGCCGCTGTGGTGCTGCTGCTTTCCACAGCTCGTTGCCTTTTGATTTATTCATGCAACCTCTGAAATATTAATGGCCGGAGACTTCAAAGTCAGTGATTTAAAAGGGTTGCTCAAAGGCAGCGGGGTAGGAGGTGATATGGCAACCGCTGTCTGATTCTGCACGAGTCGATTGGCCAGACAAAAAAAAAAAAAAAATCAGGCAGCCAGAAAGAAAACATGACCAAAGACATGAAGAGGCTGCTTCCCATATTGACTGTAGCCGAAGGGCCTGAAATGTGAGAATGTGTTTTTCGCAGTGTCAGGAAGCGTCTACGGAATTTATCGCTGAAGCCTTAGATGGCTTAGTAACAAGTCGGAAACCAAGAAAAAAAGTGCCACGTGAGGCAACAACACATTCATAGTTGTTACAAATATGAAAAATGGTTTACCTCAAGTAACATGGCAACTTGGAGATTAGTAGTTCGAATGTTGAAATGAGCAGTGTAATTAATGCGTGCTCCGTGTACTTCCTTACAGCTTAGGAGTGAGTTCGTCCGCATTGACCGTCGTCGATAAGACTTTGCTCTGGAGGAATTCACACACTAATGGAGCAACCACCTCGGGGTTATTCAGATGAACATGATGGCCGCCAGGTACCTTCACCACCGAGTGCTGAGCGAAAGAAAACAAGCGAAATGTGAAGGACACATCAAGGTTTACTCCTTTTCCCCCGATGATGATGATGATGATGATACGACCCCCCCTCCACCCCCACTCCCAAGCATATTTAGCTGTGCTGCATAGCCTCAGCCTCCTCATTACTAGAACTTGACCACATTCCATTATGTAGGTCACTTGACGAAATATTCAGAATGCTGCTTTAGCATCTCCCCGGCTGCTGTCTCTTTGTATGCCTGCGGGCCTGTCTTCATGTCTCTATCGGCCTTCCAACTGACTTTCCAGTGTTCTGTCATTTTCGCACTGCATTCCTGTCTGACTGTGGATCAGTCAGTCGGTCCGTTTGTCTGCCAGTGAGCCCTTTCTGACTTACGGCAGAATGGTCAGTTGGTTTGCCGGTCTGTCTGAGCGTCTTTCTCACCGTGTATTGGGTCTGCCTGTCTGTTTGACTGTCACAAGTTCTTTCTGTGGGCCTGTCTGTTGTTCCGTCTGGCTGATTGACTGACTGTCAGCAGTTGAGGCTGTCAGTGGGTCTGTCTGTCGGTCATCTAGAACAGTGGTCCCCGTGGGTCATTTGGTACCGGGCAGCACAGAAAGAATAAATAACTTACATTACTTCCGTTTTATTCATTTCGGAATCTGAAAGACGTTTGATTTGGAAAAATTACCAGATTCTCTGTTACACCTGTCGACAGTATGTCACTCTTGACACAGGTCAAGGTGCGCTTCTTGGTCACGTGATAGGTTACCGCTAAAATGAAACCCAGGAGCTAGCAAAATGAGTAAAAAACAAACGTCTTTGGGAAGGGGAAAAGGCCCAGCCAGGAGACAGAAGAGGAGCCTATGACTTTCAAGAAATAGAAGGCTACATTTAATAGACAGTACTTAAAATCCGGATTTATCTCAACGGGAGATTCCCACGAACCAAGTCCGCTCTGCATAATGTGTGGCGATGGTGGGTCGTATTTTTCTTAAACTTTGTATTTGCGTCGTATCTTATTTTGAAGGCACGTTTAAACGTTACCAGAACGACCAGAGATTATTATTATGTTTAGAGAATACCACAATTTTCATGCAGGTCATTATCATATTATTTTGTTGTATTTATCCGGGCTGAAAGGCCAGTCCTTGAAATATTGTCTGACATGAAACTGGTCCGTGAGGCAAAAAAAGTTGTGGACCCCTGATCTAGACAGTTGGTTGGTCTGTTGTCTGCATCAGTCGCATATCTGGTCCGTTTGTTGGTCTGTGCCTCACTCTGTCTGCACCTTTACCAACTATAAATATAACGGAAGCTACAGGCACACCGACGCTGTATGAACACACTTACATTTTTGTGTCTATAGCCCTGCAGAAGCTCTGATGTAAATTTCTTTTGGTCTGGTTCTGCAAATATTTTCTCAAAGCCTTCATCCGCACTGGGGAGGAAAAAAAAAAGATGAGGTGTAGAATTCCAATGTTGAATTGTAGCAAAAGATTGCATCCATTATTGTATGTGGCTGCTAAATTCATTACTCACAGAACCACCAGAACGGAGGCTCGTATCCTCGAGAGCATTTCCAAACTCTGCTCCAAAGTGATACGAGCGATGTTTTTCTTCATGGAAAAAAAACAAACAAACAAACAAAAAAAAACATTGTTAATGCATATGACATCTTGAGATAAAAACGTACAACAGGAACCTACCAAATTGATACGGAGGTCACGTGAGAAGACAACTCCTACATGATAAGATCACAGTGAAATTACAGAAGGGGAAAAAAATTGGGATTATTCCAAGTGAGGAGAATTAGAGCAGAGAAGACGTGAAAACAAACCTCCCTCAACTTGTACAAGACCACGTTCTAAAAGGTTGCACGCAGACGCCTCGGACAGACTTGGGTTTGCTGCCAACAGCCTGAGACAAGAAGAAAGAAAATCAATCGGCAGATGCTAAACAGAATCGTTTTAAAAGACAAAAACAAGACTATGTCGTACCTCTCAACTGCTTTCTCATAAGTGTAAACTCGCTCACTCTTCTCGGGCTTCTTTTCAAACTCAAGAATGCCATCCATCCCCCGCCGCATTATTTCAGGCACGTCTTTCTGTAAACAAGACCTTATTGTGAGGTGTGAGTGTTCTGTGGGGGATTCGGGTGAATTTTGACATTTAAAATGTATCTTGTGACACCTCAAAATGTCCTCCAAAACGCAGTAGCCATAATTAAAAATGAGTTTATCAATTATCATTTGTCAATCAATCACTAGTCCATGCTCCGATTCTTTGATCACCTATCAGCCGTCCTGAAATAATTCTGAACTTTACACACTTTGTCCTAACGTGGGTTTGCCAACAGAAAGGCTGGTCCACATTTCTAGCACAGTAAAACCTCTGAGATAGTATTCCTGAACCAACTGCAGTTTTTCTGTTTTCATGTGAGTACAGCATTTCGGGGATTATATAAGTAATTTTAGGGCGGAGGGGGGGGCTCTGATTTACTAAACAGGAAGTACACGGGTAACAAAATAATGCTCAGTGGGAAAAGTCATTCTAAGTTTTTGAGTTGGCAAAGATGTGGTTCGAGTTTAACCTGGGGGTGTCTATTCATTGAAAGATCATGATGTGATCCACCCAAGTCTAATGTCATGTTAATGAGATTTACTGATAACTAGATGCAGTAAATATAAATATTGGTTCTGGCGTAACACTGTTTGAACAACACTCAAGGTCATACGAACACACCTCCGGATGTGCTGAACAAAAATATACATTTTAAAATAACATTTGAAATGACAAGTGATCTTCCATGAAAATAGAAAAATATACTCTGAATAATCTGAAAGTTAGAAGATATTCATGACTTGTGACTACTAGGAACTGTAATTTCAAAACAGAAGGGTTCTTGAGAAAGAGAAATTATTCTATTAAGTTTACCGGATCAGTGGGTAAGAATCCATAAGAGTCCAGCAATACACAAGCTTCCACCATCTCAGGGAAAAGAGCACTGAACTGCATCAAACACAAGGTGGATCGAAGTCAGCACTGATTACGATTGTCAAATGGCGGCTAATAAGAATGTGAGGTGAAACAACACACTCGCACAACTTACCATTCCAGCAATATTACCTCCTGGAAAAAAAAAAAAAAGATGGAGATGTGGACATTTACCAAGGAGGAACATTCAAATGGTGTGACTAACGCTTGGCTATGCTCACCCATACTGTGGCCCAGGATGGAGAACTTGCGCCAGCGGAGGGCTGTGGGAGTTAATTTCACAGACCATCAGGCAGCTAGCACATCTCATCACGATAGTACACATCACATTGGTTTTACTTGCCATAGAACATCAGAGCTTGCGAGCACGGTTGGACAATGTGATTGAAATCAAGAAGGGGCTTTTTTTTTTCCTTTTACTAATCCGCCTAGATCAAATGATAGCAAGTGTATACAAATCGGTTTCACACATCAATATGTTATCGAAGCCTACGTGAAAATAAAATGCACTTACTGTCAACAACTCTGTGAATATCAGACACATATGAAGGAAAAGTGTAAAAGACACCAGGGGGACGATGCGAGGAAAGACCGTGACCTGCCAGGTCCACCGCCACATATCGGCACCCTGACAAGAAAAAATGAGAGTGATGACTGACAAATGGCCAGCTCATGACATGGCACAGTATCTTATGGTTTGATATCAATTTTTTTCTCCAAAGACACTGGTGCCTTAAAGGATCTCCACCATTACTAAGTCCAGCTGTACAAAACAGAACAATGATAACGTGGTATTTTTATGTTACCATAATTTCTTGAGAATAACACACACTTGAACATTATCCACCCCCTTCAAAAGCAGTTATTTCTCTGTACTCATGTATTACAGTATATGGTCTCCTGATTTCTGATTTCAGATGTGCCCTAAAACATTTTGCACTATAAAGTATGAGAAATAGCCACTCTCGGCTTTGAGCCCACCATTATTATATCGCGTACTCTGAGTGGCGTGTGAAACTATCTTGATGCCAAATGCCAACGTGCGGTTGCGGGTTGACTTTTACCCATCATATATTAATGGCCAACGAGGGGAGAGGTGTTGACAGAGACTGAATGCCCACCTGCCTCGTTTAGATTTGGATCATTTATTGTGCAAACAACATTAAACTTTTAGATGTGTGTGGATAAAATATTTTACTTACCTTTAGGTAGAAGGGGAATAAGAGTGTTGAAGCTACCACAGTTGTCAGCCCAGCCATGTAGACACAGCACAGGACGGCCATGATCAGGACCCCAAATTTTCCCTTTGATCTCTCCCCAGGGGACGGGTACAGACAGTTCTAGGGGATAGTGGGGACGCACAGGAGGATTTTGATATATTTTGATATATCCGACATACATATCGAGCTATGAGGTACAGTGAGGTTTGAAGGTTACATTACATATACAATACTTATCAATATGTTCAATTATATTTTTAGTATATTATATCAACCTAATTATATTGTATGGATGAGTTGAGCCTTTGTCTACGGTTTCGTATGGGTATCAGTAATATCCCTAATAGTCCTGTTAGTTGTTTTTAGTTAGTTATGTGATTAGACTGTTTATGATGGAATTGGGTACAGCACAAAATGCAACACAAATGAAAGAGTCATCCAAAGAAAAAAATGGAACACGTTACCCGTTTGTTTCATTGGGGCGGTAGACAGGTGTCTGACGTTCCGAAAAACTCGTATCATCGAAGAACGCGTGGAGTACTACACAATGCAATTTAAAAGTGTAAATTGCTTTAGACCGTATCAAAAAGGAAACAGAAGAGAAATTTCAACTTTGGAAATTAAGTTTGCTTTGGCCGACGAGTGACAGGGTTCCGTGTTTGCTACGCCACGTGATTAAAACGCAAGAAATGATTGGACAAACAAGAACATTAGAGCTACGGCGTGACCAATCACTGTTTAGAGAAGGAGGGGATAACCTTTCACCAATTAAGCGCAGTTCTCAAACCTTTTTCACCGAGTATCACCTCAAAAATGGGTTCCCCCTCCTAATTTCACCATAATGAACTAGAAAACGAGACAACTGTTTTATTATTTTTATTTTTTTTAAACAATGTACTATTCAAGGGGAAGTAGACGTCAGAACTTTATTTTTAAATTAGCGTATTTGCTTTGTCAGCTGCTTACTCAAATCGAATTTGTATTATTTTAAAAATATTATTTCAAAACATGGCATCTATGCACCTATTCTGTGCGAATTCGCAAGAATTTTAAAGTGTTGGAGCCTATCCCAGCTGCGTTCAGGCAAGAGGCTGGGTACACGCTGAAGTTGTTGCCAGCCAATTACAGGACACACATAGACACTCATTCGCACTCACAATCTCACTTAACGGACAATTTAGAGTGATCAATTAACCTACAAGCATGCTTTGTAAAGTAAGAGGAAACCGGAGTACCCGCAAGCTCCACACAGGAAGGCCGTAGCCATAATCGAACCCTGCACCGCTGCACCTGAGGCGAACTTGCTAACCAACGATTTTTGAAACCTCTGCATTAGACTAAGGGTCATTTCCTGGAAAACTCAAATTTTGGCCCCCCAAAAAAGAGTTAGCGTGACAATATGGGATAGGTCCTCAAATAATTATTGAATTACAGTAATATGTATTGAACATAACCGTGAAATAAAAATAAAATTTGACAGGTCCATTCATCCAACGTCTTTCACTGATCCGAGGCTAGGTCATGGGAGCAGGAGTTTAAACAGGGAAGCCCAGACTTCCCACTTCCCTGCCACTTCATTCAGCTTTCGAGCTTTTCACTTTAACTCTTAGGGAGAGCCCAGACACCGTGCGGAGGAAACTCATCTTGGCCACTTGTATCCGGGTTCTTGTTCTTCATACGACCCACAGATTGTGACCATATGTAACGGTAGGAATGTAGATGACCGGTACAATCGAGAGCTTCACCTTTTGACCAAGCTCCTCCTTCACCACGACAGACGCATCTATGCACCTATTCTGTGCGAATTCGCAAGAATTTTAAAGTGTTGGAGCCTATCCCAGCTGCGTTCAGGCAAGAGGCTGGGTACACGCTGAAGTTGTTGCCAGCCAATTACAGGACACACATAGACACTCATTCGCACTCACAATCTCACTTAACGGACAATTTAGAGTGATCAATTAACCTACAAGCATGCTTTGTAAAGTAAGAGGAAACCGGAGTACCCGCAAGCTCCACACAGGAAGGCCGTAGCCATAATCGAACCCTGCACCGATGCACCTGAGGCGAACTTGCTAACCAACGATTTTTGAAACCCCTGCATTAGACGAAGAGTCATTTCCTGGAAAACTCAAATTTTGGCCCCCAAAAAAGAGTTAGCGTGACAATATGGGATAGGTCCTCAAATAATTATTGAATTACAGTAATATGTATTGAACATAACCGTGAAATAAAAATAAAATTTGACAGGTCCATTCATCCAACGTCTTTCACTGATCCGAGGCTAGGTCATGGGAGCAGGAGTTTAAACAGGGAAGCCCAGACTTCCCACTTCCCTGCCACTTCATTCAGCTTTCGAGCTTTTCACTTTAACTCTTAGGGAGAGCCCAGACACCGTGCGGAGGAAACTCATCTTGGCCACTTGTATCCGGGTTCTTGTTCTTCATACGACCCACAGATTGTGACCATATGTAACGGTAGCAATGTAGATCGACCGGTACAATCGAGAGCTTCACCTTTTGACCGAGCTCCTCCTTCACTACGACAGACGCAGACTGTTACAGAGTCCGCATCACTGCAGACGCAAGATTGATTGATCTGCTTGTTGGTCTCTTGCTCCACACTCCCTTCATGTTGTACTTTTTTTTTTGCAGTGGCAGCAAAACACTTCCATTACATTGTCCAATGTATTTAAATAAATGAATGAATTTATTTTTAAAAATGAACAATAATAACAAATTAAAAAATGAGAAATATACATGTTTTAGACTACTATACGAATATGTGACACAGATCAAGAAAGAAAAATATTCCCATTTCCCTTACAAAACAGAGTTTTGAATGATATTATGTACAGTTCCATAGCGTTGCAAAAATAGAATCACAATGATAAACACATTTAAAAAAATATGTTTCGGTTGTCAGTCACAAGGGAGTACTAATACTGCATGATTTAAGCTATTTGTTTTTAGTACTTTATTTAATCAGAATCAAAATGAAGATTATAAAAATGCAACCATGCACTTTGTTGTTGGACTGTTTTTTGTTTTTTTCATTGAGTCATGTTTATTTAATCAGAATCAAAATGAAGATTATAAAAACGCAACCATGCACTTTGTTGTTGGACTGTTTTTTTGTTTTTTTTCATCCATTCATCCAACGTCTTTCACTGATCCGAGGCTAGGTCATGGGAGCAGGAGTTTAAACAGGGAAGCCCAGACTTCCCACTTCCCTGCCACTTCATTCAGCTTTCGAGCTTTTCACTTTAACTCTTAGGGAGAGCCCAGACACCGTGCGGAGGAAACTCATCTTGGCCACTTGTATCCGGGTTCTTGTTCTTCATACGACCCACAGATTGTGACCATATGTAACGGTAGCAATGTAGATCGACCGGTACAATCGAGAGCTTCACCTTTTGACCGAGCTCCTCCTTCACTACGACAGACGCAGACTGTTACAGAGTCCGCATCACTGCAGACGCAAGATTGATTGATCTGCTTGTTGGTCTCTTGCTCCACACTCCCTTCATGTTTTACTTTTTTTTTTGCAGTGGCAGCAAAACACTTCCATTACATTGTCCAATGTATTTAAATAAATGAATGAATTTATTTTTAAAAATGAACAATAATAACTAATTAAAAAATGAGAAATATACATGTTTTAGACTACTATACGAATATGTGACACAGATCAAGAAAGAAAAATATTCCCATTTCCCTTACAAAACAGAGTTTTGAATGATATTATGTACAGTTCCATAGCGTTGCAAAAATAGAATCACAATGATAAACACATTTAAAAAAATATGTTTCGGTTATCAGTCACAAGGGAGTACTAATACTGTATGATTTAAGCTATTTGTTTTTAGTACTTTATTTAATCAGAATCAAAATGAAGATTATAAAAACGCAACCATGCACTTTGTTGTTGGACTGTTTTTTGTTTTTTTCATTGAGTCATGCAGAGTATCTGAGGCTTGAAATAAGTTGAAGGCTGCAAGTTTGGGATCCAATTAACAGCAGGATTAGATCTTGGGAAAAATCTAAGATGTATCTGGCTCTTTTGAGTTTGAACTTTGAAGTCTTGCACTTCAACCCATGTCAGGGTAACACCACAACACGATGAACACAGTGTTTGAGTGTCATTCTGCTAATTATCCTGTTTATCCTGATCCCTGAGTGGCAGTCTTTTGTGTGGCGTTGAGGTGTTGAAGCTGTTTGGAGGGACGTGCGTGATGGTAGGAATTCCGAGTAGGGGCTGGGATATTTTGGTGATGGGACAGAGGGAGGGAATATATAAGCCTTAGGGTCGATGAGAGGTCATAACAAGAAGAATTGGCTAACGTAGTAGGATCATTTGTATTTTCACAGGTAGGTTTTGCTGTGTTACCGGCTTCCTCATTCGAAAGTTACATTTTATTGGATGACAATTTATCTTTGGGGATTAAAAAATTAAATATGCACGTGTTTTAAGAAGGCGCCACACAATGCAGCTGCATTGAGGTCAAAGCTGAGGTAATGTATTCATCGAGACTTTCATGCAACGCCTAATGGCTGCTGGCCATTAAATGTAATACTGGAACAAAAGGATAATGGTCCTGCTTTTTTCTCCTCTTTTCCCTTTGAATTTCTCTCCAATTAGTTTTGTATTCCCCAGTGTTCTCTAATCTTTTCCACACACAGTTTCCTCAAACATATCCTTAAGTCATGGCTGACTTTGACACAATTCTGAAGTTTTGGGCGCCAGTTGAGGCAGACTTGAACACATATGGAGGTCTGGTTCTAACTCGGTAAGTTGCTTTTGAGATCAGATGTAGTCGGGGATGAAATGTTAATCGATAAAAGCCAGCAACCCAGTGTATTTTCTCTTCACAGCTTATTCACTGAGCACCCTGAGACCCAGAAGCTGTTCCCCAAGTTTGCAGGAATCGCCCAAGCCGACCTGGCCGGAAATTCGGCCGTTTCTGCCCACGGTGTAACAGTGCTGAAGAAACTGGGGGAGCTGCTGAAAGCCAAAGGCAATCACGCCGACATCCTCAAACCTCTGTCCAAGACCCATGCCACAAAACACAAGATAGCCCTCATCAATTACAAGGTCATCTTGAAATATGTTCCAGGACTGGTGTCACAAAAGAGATTTCAAATCCAAATGATGAAGGTCACTCCAAAAAGTTGATGTTCTTCTTGGCCAGGAACTGTCAGATGCTCAGGGTACTGAAAAGAAGCCATGTTGCTCGGCCACATCTCTTAACGGCTCACTCACATCTTCTCAAGTACCGAATGAAGCAAACGAGGCTGTTTGGGTTTTAAATCTCTTTTGTGAAATGAGTCCTGGAACATTTCTGACACGCCTCGATGTCCTCCCTGATCGTGTGTAGTTAATGTGCGGTCTTATTTGCTATCTGACTCTTTTACAGCTGATCACAGAAGTCATCGCAAAGGTCTTGGAGGAGAAGGCAGGATTGGACAGTGCCGGGAAGCAGGCTTTGAATAACGTGATGGACGTCGTCATTGCCGACATCGATGCAGACTACAAAGAGCTGGGCTTTGCCGGCTGATGTTTAGTTTGCAGAAAGAAATATGGCTGTTTGAAAATGTGTCAACCATTAGGGGTGCTATTTTTTTTAATGAAGATTATATGTAGCAAAATAGATGAACCACTACCAAAATAGAGTTTGCAGTGCATTGGATAGACATTGCACAAAAGTGTGACACACAGAATGAAATGTTTTATGTTGTGCATGTTTGTAAGTGTTCAGTAATAAAAAAAGAGTAAAAAAATGAAGCCTGGCTTTTTTGACTCACGGGATGCAAACTTTACCCCAGTTTGGGGGTAGGCAGATTTAAGTAAACTAAAATGAAGATATTTAAAAACATTTTTAAAGGACTTGCAGTTGACAGAAAAATTACATCATAGTTGCTCAGCGTTGAATATCTTGTTCAGTGGGCTTTAAAATGCCACCGTATGCAAAAGGACATCATGGTTGCTCAGCGCTCAGGTAACGACCAATCATGGCTCAGGTTGTGAATGTCACCTGACCAAAACAGATGAGTCATGTTTGGTCCTTAGCCACACTGATCAAATGCAATTTTTAATGAGGAATAATTACTTCATTTTGTCAAATCTTTACTCTGGTCTAATTTGATACATACACTATTAATCTCGAGTCGCAACCCTCTCATTCCTGCAAACCACTGTGTTGGTCGACGGCTTTAAAATTAAGCAATAAAGCAGGCAAGGGAAAGACATCAATCCAAAAGTTAACGTCCAACTGCTTGCATGCAAAACAAATGCTACCAAGGACACAGGCAGAGTAAACAATAAGCCCCTTCAAGGACCATGTGACAAAAAAATATGGTTCCTCAACTGGATACAAAGTTTCTCAAAGAAATGTGTTGCCGACAAGTGCTGTACATTAAAAAAATGACAAAAAATATTGATCATGATGACAATTTAATATAAAACAAAATGTTAGCCTAACATCATAATTAACAGAAATAACAAAACCCAATTGACCTGTTTTGGGAAAACCAGCTTGAGACTCTCATTGTTACGGTCTTAAGCTATTTCCATGGTTAGCTAATCCGTGTTGAATGATTTCGAAGTCAAACAAAAAGGGTGGAAATATGTCAGCCACAATTCCAGACATACTAAGTTAAGTAACGGTACAAGTTTTGCTTTTTGGGCCTTCTGTTGGAAACAAGATGACTTGGTAAAACTTCAGGCATATTTCGATTCATTTCCAAAGAGCATCAACGCTGACACTACCAGCAACATTTCAAACACGCTCTTGTCCCCCCCCCCACCGTGTCTGGCTCCACGTACGTGAACTTGAATTATGGATAATTGCCATGATGATAAGCTATTAATAGTGAATGTGAATCAGCGCAGGAAGCAGACGTGAGACGTGGCACAACCACCCTCACTCACTGCACTGCAGTTCTATATCTGATGCCATTCAAATATCTGGAAAATAAATGCCTTCATTGGCGCCAATGTTATTTCTGACCATTTTTTGGGATATGCTACAACTTCTACACATCACTATACAGCGCACTCTGGATATTGTTCACATTCACACTTTTCCTAGAATTTCATCTTCCTCAAGAAATTGTCCTACTGCATCATGCTTGATATTAGGATGCTACATGTTAGCATTCCTCTTGAAAGAGTGTCAAAGGAAATTGTGTTAATAGATTGTTCTATAATGTTAATTTTGCCAAGACAGTTCATCTTCCAAATACCATATTTTGTTCAAACTAGTGACAATTTGAAACATTTTGGGAGCCGATCCAGTACAGTAAATGGTTGTAAATGCAACACCATCTCAAGAGGAAAACTGGCTAACTGTATTAAATATATTGGCAAGAAGCATTGTTACAACGATTCAAACTACCAAACCCAAAATCTTTTAAGTTTCTTCCAGAGAAGTTTGGGCAGACTAGAGATGGGTACCACTGTAGTCAATGCAGCTCTAGCACACACTCAGTTCACATAAATACATTCGTATCAAGCAGAGAAAAGGACAAGACTAATTTGAGCAAAAGGGCATTTTAATACTTTATGTTGACATTTAAAAAAGGAGCTTGACCAACACTGCAGTAATTTCATTGAGTCAGTTATTTTTAATGATTTGGGGATAAGTTCATCTTCCGAGCGATATTAGAATTTATGTTCTCAACTTTTTATTTTCACCTTTCGTGACATTTCTTTTAATATTCTATCTTTGGGCAGATTCACGATGCACTGCATTTTGGGTTGTTATTAAATGGGAGGGAATAGAATAGCTTTATCAGAATCAGTTCCACTTTATAGTAACCAGAAGCCTGGTTAATTCCCCACTCCCCCCATTTTTTTCTTTTAATCGGTCAAATTGCCGCCATAAATGTTAAATGAAAGACACTTCGGAGCAAGGATTTTGAAATTACCAGTCAAATTCCTCAGCCCCCCTCGTGTGCCTCCAGTGTCTTGCTGCATGCTACAAAACAACAGATGAACATGAATGACTGATAACTGACATGATGACAACCTATTAATAGCAAGTGCACACGTGCATCAATGCGGGATGAAAACGTGACATGGGGCACAAAGACCGCCATCAACAAGCCGCCCCTGGGGGTCCTCAACCACTGCACGGCGCTTAAATATTTGACACCATTTAAAACCTCTTTCATGGGTAGAAATCAGTTTATGTGGAAATATGATCTTGAACATGTTTTAGTTGACTCCTGGATACAGATTGGATAGAAATACACACAGACGAAACAAGCTGATTTGAGAACGGCACTGCATTATATATACTATGAGGTGTTCTTAATGGGTTGATTTTTAGCTCAAGAAGGTAAGCGAGTAGAAATGCCTCACAAGTATGATGAGTGCGGTTCACATCCATGACTAAGCCTTGTTATTTGTATGGGATTGTGAAGGTGTACCGACTATTGCCAGATTTGGACAAGACTGTAAATAAATAAAAGGTCATCGACAGCAGAGTACAACCACAGAGAAGATAATCATGTTAAAGTCAGAGAGTTTGCCAGTCCGATGGCGGTAACTAATCAAAATCCACTTCGTTAGTGTTTGAGGGCACTGTGCACATTGTCAGGTTGGACAGATAGAGTGCTGTCGTCATGGGAACGAGACCGGCCGCCACCTTCAGGATGGTCAGCAATCTCTCTGAGGCGTTGGTTGCACCATCTGCCGTCTGCAGGGGACAAATATTAACACCGCTGCCACAGCGGAGAACCTAAAATCGATTGAGCATAATGTGTACTCGCTCGTTTCTTTCTTTCTTTTTAAGATCTCTTTCATTTGGAAATAATATTTTTGTTTTCCCATTTTCTTCATGCCTAGATTCTCCATTTTCAGCAATCTTCAGAGGTTATATCCCAATTCAGGGGCTGCACCGAAAGCCTAGGTGTACATGACTTCAGCTTGCAAAGTCCCGTTTATTTTTCCAGGATTGAGCAAACATGACAAAAAAAAAAAGCCATTGAGACATTCTGGATTTGTCGAGTGTATGTATGGAATAAGCAAAGTTGTCACAAACCTGATCCTCTGCAAAGAGCAGCGTGCAGCGTAAGGACGCAGCCAGCCCTCTGAGGGTGTCCAGGCGCTCTTGGGGGACGGCTGCATTGCGTGCTACGAGTTACAAAAGAGACATGCAGCAAAAGCTTTGGCTTCAAAATTCTGTCCTTTGCAAACAACAACACAGAAACGTGGGGCAGTGTAAATAATGACAAGCCCAGATGAGTTTGATCATCCCTTTGATATACCGTTGGTGGCCATGAAGCAGACTTTTCCAAGAAAATATCCCGGGTCCAAATATTTGAGGGAAGCTCGGGCAGATTGCAGACTGTGACAAAAAATAAAAATAAATAAATAAAATAACCCAGTGAAGGCCACCATTGCAAGCTTATTATTATTATTATTATTGTCATTGTTATTATCATCATTAATTATTTATTTAAGACCTATAAATAAGTACCTATAGATAGTTGAACTGACATTTCATAATTTTTCTGAAGCGGAAAAGAAAGTGCTTGGTGCATCAATCTGACAGTTCTGAGGTTGTGGGTTTGAGTCTTGGCCGTGGCCTTTCTAAGTGGCGTTTGCATGTTCTGGCCCTGCGGTTATAATATTTACGAAGGTTATTAGCACACAGACTTGGAAACATGGTTTTAAAGACATGCAGTACCTGAGTTCAGAGGTGAGGTTGACGATGAAAACCACCAAGTCTATCCTGGGGCGACTGTGTTGGTTCTCGAAGGGCAGAGGGAGACTCTTTGCTAGTCTCCTGTTTGAAAAACAACATTGTTAAGTAGGACTTCAGACTGCAAAATACCAATGTGATAAACGGACAAATCCAGTTGTCAATTCAATAGGTATGAGTTGGGCCACCGCTCCGGAGGTGGAGGAGGAGAGACTGTCTTAATGTGTCCTTGAACAAGACATTGAGAACTCCTAATTATGCACAATGGGGCACTTTGCAGTGTGCATTTGCAAGCCGCCATCAGCCAGGATCATATAAAGTGGCCCCACTGCTGCTAAGGAGCCATATAAATACAGTCCATTGGGCAGGGTAGAACTAATGCAGCATAAAACAATTAGTTCCTTGTGAGGGCAATGATGGCTCATTTTATTGAATCGGAACACTGTCACAGCTCACTAAGTCAGAGACTCCAAAACGACTATTAAAATACATTTTTCTAGTAATATCAGCAGTTTGGGGGATGAAGCACTACTCACACATTCAACGTGACTGCCGTCTCCTCCACCAGAACTTCAGCTAATCTCTGCTGAAACTCTTCTTCTCTTTCCACCAGCTAAATTGGGGGGGAGTGGAGGGGGGCAAAAGTCAGCATGAAGCATCCTTTCCAAAATTGTTTTCGCAAAGTAAACACTAACGCTTTATGTGGATTGAACACAAAGACAATACAAGACTCAATATGATTTTTTGTGCAGGGAGTTTTTCAATGGATTTTAATCTGGTTTTAGTTTTTGCTAATCATACCACATTTGAAAACTGTCTCATAAACTCTCTCTCTCTCTCTCTCTCTCTCTCTCTCTCTCTATATATATATATATATATATGTATATATTTACTCGAGTCAAGAGTTTCTGACACAAATTTCAAGCTCGCTGGAGCAAAACATTACTTTTTCCTGGCTATTTTTGCGATACTTCCTTGATCATACAGTGCATCAGTCTACTTTCATTTCACATGACAGAAATCGGCTATTTACAGTTGAGAAGCCGAAATTCTATGCATTTGTACAATTAAAAATGAAACAAAATGCCATCGAAACGATTTATTGACTATCAATAATGATCAGCGATTAGTTGCTGACTAAGCATTGCACGCACCTCAAAATTATTTTTTTAATAATTAGGCACATTTTTCATCAATGGACGCTACAGCTTCTTGTTTGCTTTCAAACTGAGCTTGTAGCAGACATGTGCACTTTTTCAGCATGACGTCTCTGATCCACTGGTGAAAGGACACTTTGATTCTCTCCTCTTTCATCTATAACTGCTTCAAACAACAAATTGCATGCAGAAAAAGTGGTTAAGATTGCATGGCTGTGTTTTATGTGTTGTGTTGTATTATTTTGTTATATTATGTTAACTGTTGCCGGCCGGGTGGTCCAGCGATTAGCGCGTTGACCTCACAGTGCAGAGGTACCAGGTTCAATTCCAGCTCCGGCTTCCCTGTTTGGAGTTTACATGTTCTCCCCATGCCTGCGTGGGTTTTCTCCGGGTACTCCAGTTTCCTCCCACATTCCAAAAACACAGACTAAGTTAAAGGTTTCTCAGAATAACTGGGAAACAGATAAATACATCATGTGACACTTTATTTCCATGAATCTCTGCAGCTTTTACAATTTTAAATGATCACGTCGACCACGTTCCTAGAAAATCACAATGTCCCACCAGCGAGTTACTCTTCAAACAGACCCGCTGGCTACCCATACGGTCCTTGGAGGCTACCTGGTGGCCACTGACACCACATCGGTGACTAGCTTTACTTTTTAATTGCAGATAGTGTTCGTGCACAATAATGTTCGGGGAATTCGGACAGTTAGTATTTCGACACTTTTCGACGATTGTGAACGTCATTCTTTCATTCTCGGTTTATATTTACGTTGACCCATACTTGTGGACTCTTGCGCATTTAAAAATACTTTTCACACAAGACAGTTTAATTCTACGCCGGAAATAAAGCTCTAAAGACTTACCAATATGGTAGCGGTGTTCAGAGCAGGCCGCCTACTAAACGGTTTCAGTAACGACATGGTGAATCAAATGTCACAAAGGACGTTTTTGAGTGTGCATTGGTTTGCTGTAGCGTTCTCCCTGCGCCATTTTTTTCAGTTGCGCGCTTCTTTTCCAAATACGCGTGACGTCATGACGCTTCTCCATGTTTTAAAACCTCAGTCACCCAGTGGCCAAAAAAGAATACTACACCACCCCATCGCGCGTCCAACATATCCAGGGCGGTCTTGTAAATTTAGACAAGACACTTTTATAATTTCCTCAACGGATTAGGCGATAAATGCCAAAACCAGACATAAAAAAAAATCAGCCCGTTTCAAATTCTTTGATTTTTTTGTTAATCATTGTAAATTCCGTACAAAACTGTACGATAAAGAGAGAAAAAGTGCACCAGACAGAAGTCAGTGTAGTACATTGCATATCGAGCAGAACGTTTATTTCATTGTGGCAGCACAGCAAAACAGAAGCCCTTCACCAACCGCAGCAGACAGCACACCCCTGTGCCACATGATAGGATGTAAACATGCACGTCACATCAGACACTGAGCAGAAGCGGTTTGATGAGTCGTCAAGTTTTAATTTCCAAGCGTCTTTATCTTGAATTAAAGGCCAATGTTCAACGCCTGTACCAGATTTTCCAAATGGCTTCAAGTCAGTAAACAAAAGAACAAATACAAGGGTCTGTTGTCATTCTAACCCCAGATCAAATTGTACTGTAGTGGTTATGCATCATTAATATTTCCAACACCTGTAACAATCAGCCACACCTACTGAAACTTAAGAGTCCTAATGGGGAAAAAAAGAGAAACATTGAAAGCAGAACTAATGACTTTAAAAGAAATCGGCATGTTGTGAGGAAAGTTAAACAGACCTCCCACAGGGTCAAAACAATCTGGCATAAACAAATTCAATTCAAAGTCGTATAAAAGTTGCTCTGCCTCGTAAATTGACAACATCCCTTCATTCCCCCATTAACTTTCCACCCTGCTAATGTACACATGCCACTTTGAACATGAATTCCTATGTTGATAATTGCTGAACAATGCAATGGACTGACATCAAGAGATGTGTTCCATCCTGCCCCTTTCTGTCCTTCAAATCTCTCCGGACTCCCGCTCCTCGGAGCTGGAATGTCGGTCCCGCTCCAAGGACAGGGATCTCTCCCGCTCCCTCCCCATGTCTGGGGAGGTGGACCTCTCCCGGTCCTCCCAGTCTTTGTACTCCGCCCTGTTGTTTCGCCACTCCTCCAAGGCGCCCTCCTGACTGCGCAATTGGGGGAGGGAGGGTTCAAGGTCACGGGTGTGCGATGATCTTTCTCTGGAAGACCTGTTGGAAAAGGAGCACGTTTAGAGACTTGCCATGTTTAATGTTTAACCATACGATAGTGATTTATTCAAACCATTCACTTATCTAAATTATTTTAAAATTATGTAATTCCCCCCAGTGTGGGACAAATAAAGGTTATCTTATATAAAAATGTTTTCGAAAGAAAAAAAGTCGATAAGAATACCGTTAAGGGAGCGGATCTATAAGCTGTATCGTTAAGAGTAGTAGTATCATTAAAATATTAACGATACCCATCTCTACGCATGTTGATCAAAGCCTTTCACTGCCGATGTAAAAAAAAAAAAAAAGATCATATTGAAAGGCTCCTTAAAGGTGTTTCATCCACTGCAAATCGTCTCTTGATTAGCTCAACAGCAAATATTCTCACCTTTCTGTAGTCCTTCAGGAAGCATACGACTATCTTTTTAAATCCAAATACAGTATGTCATTTGCAAACATCTGCTTTTAATTAGGAAAACAATGGTCAACACTTTTCACTATTTTCTGACATGTTGTAGTTTAAAAGAGCAACTGAAGCACAGTATGCGTGCATTTTCTGCACTGTCAATTTGAAACGTTCCTTTTGTATAACAAGGATGCAAATTTGGAAAGAATGTTTCTATCAAATGTGTAAATGTGATTCATCGATTAATCGTTAGTGAGCAGCTCTAAAATTGAAAAAATGTCCAGCTAATTCGTGTGATCGGCATTGGACTCACTCGTGGATAATCTGTATTGAAATCATCAGCATAAAACCCCAATCAGAACACCCTTACTTGGAAAGCTCTGCAAGCACAAACTGTTATGTCATCTGACATTTCCACCGGAAACGCTGTTGCACGCTGCAGTGCATGAGATCCATTTGTTGTTGTACTTAAACCCTGAAACCAAATTGCTGTCATGCCTCTCACCACACGTTACCTAAACTCAACGATCATCTTAAATGTTTTTTTAACTTGTTCTTTGGCTTTTCAGAAAACATATTCCAAAATGTCATCAACATGAAGAAAGCCAAAACGTGATAACCATAGAACTGAAAATTGAACTTTTATGACGTAACAACGCACCACACGTCTCTGTACTGACTGCTCAGTCATATGCCTGAACCACCATTCAAATTTTGACGGCTGGTAATGACCACAGAACCGGAAATAGAAATCAATCCTCCCACTACTTCTATCAAAGATGACTTTACATTGCACTATTAGCAGTAGTTAACTTGCTCTCCACTTGTCCGGTGGTTAAAAATGCTCAAATGTGCCCGTAAAGTTAATAAATGTTTTATGATGGCACAGATTATGTGTATAAAGAGTGTCCACAAAGTCTCTTTACAATTTAATCCCCACTTTATAGTGTGGAAACTATCCAACCCACTATTTTTTATTATGCTCATTCAGGTCGCAGGTGATTTGGAGTCAGCTGCCTTTGGGCGTAAGGTGCGGTAAACCCAGGGATGGCCGGGGCCGATCACAAGGGCTGGTGGAAGCGAATGGTGACCCCATATAAAGGTGCACCATACAAGGCAAATATAATCTACACCCTTTTTTCCCCCTTCTTCAATTTGTAACATGTGCCGGTTTTAAACCCCCCCGTTACGTTCTCCAGAGGCGTTACAGACAGTGGGTATTATACCTCTTCACATACCTGTTCAAATGACAAGTTTTTGTGGTCTAAAATACAAGAGAGCGAATGATACTTTATTTGGGGATAATTATGAGAGGCATTTTAAATGGTGGCAGGTGAGTGCTGAGCCCCATTGTAATTTAATGTAATGAGGATGTGCAATTTTGCTACCACATTACGCCACCATTTTTTTCTCTCTCCCCAAAACGGATGTTTGACTAATCTTCCAAGGCTGAAGAGGTAATGCCACTCTGCAAGGGAAGATTTATAATGTTTCGGGTGTTGTCCCACCTCTTTCTCTTGTGCCGGTGAGAGTGCGAGTGTGAGCGGTGTCTGTCCTTGTGTCGATGCCTCCTCTCTCGCTCCCGGTCCCCGCCCTCCTCTCGAGAATGAGAGGAGCGGTGGCGTCTTGACCGGTGGGAGGACGAACTGCCTCCGTCCCTACTTTTGTGCGTGAAGAAATTGATCAGACATATCACTGTGGCGTTAGTATTTGACTAATACAATTCTGCAAAAGGTGGTTTCATTTACATGGTTGATGACATGTAAAACTATAGCAGTTGTACCTGTATCGGTCTCCGCTTCTGGATCGTGACCTGGATGGGAACACATCATCATATAAAGACCATCATACCTGATGGCAGGACAGGATAAGGCAGCTGGGGGACCTCTTACCTCCTGCGCTCACGCTCTCGTTCCCATTCTCGTTCTCGTTCCCTCTCCCGCTCCTCTCTCTCCTTTTCTCGTTCCCGTTCCACCTCCCACTGCCTATCCCGTTCATCATCTCGTTCTCGCTCCTCTCTGCGCCTGGTACGCATTTTTTCTTGTTTCTCCACTACTGCTTTCTGCATTAAAAATGGCACCGGGAACAGACATTCACGTTTCAGAAACATTGAACATTAAAAAGACACAAACACGAGTTTTTGATCATTTCGTAGAGATCTGCTTTTAGAAATATCTTCGAGTGAAGTGAGTCCCAAATAATGTGCTGTAGCACAACATTGTGTTTCGAGTTCATCTGTGCACCAGGAAGAAATTGTACCATACTTCTAAATTCATTCTTGATTACAAAAATTATCACTCTGATAGATTTCAAGTAGGGTTGGGTGATCAATATCAATAGAAAATGTTTAATGGAAAAAATAATTGTTTCCCAAGCATTTTGTACGATGCACACATTCCAAAATAAATTCCCAGACATATTTCTGTCTTGACTTTGCTGCTTGAGATAATATGGAGTCAAACACTCATTGCAGTGGTTAAACAAAATAATTCACATATTAAAAAAGGTTAAATATCAAACTGAAAAATAAAATTACAGCCTTTTTATTTCTTTTGAATAATTAAAAAAAATCACTACTGAGCCATAATTACCCAGTCCTATTATCAAGAAAAAAATAATTACAAAAAAAATATGTGCCTTGGTCAATAAAGGTTGGCAAACACTCTCAAACATTCCAAAGTGTGTCCATTGCATATGTGACCCGAGTGAAGTGCCTTACCCTGAGCTTTTCCAGTTTCTCACGGATTTCAATGAAGCCCAGGTGAAGTTTGCCCCCAAAGTGGTCAGCAAGACGCCGGTCGTTGTCATGAAGACCCAAGTAGGCTGAGCACACTTCACACACTCGCAGTTTTTGCTGCTGAAAACTGGAGGCTGGCATTGAGTTTCTGTAAATATCCTGTAAAAGAAATCAGGAGACAACAAGACTTTTGTATCTTAATTGTAATTGAGAAGCACCTCAACATTCCCATTTAAGACTTAAATCAGTCATCCTGTCTTCTAACCTCAGCTTCTTTCTTCAACATGCGGGTCGTCTCCACCTTTTCAAGCAACTGTTGGGCCTCATCCACGTTGCCCTCGCCTCCGAGCTGCTCGGCGCTAGCAAGCAGCTTCCCGATCTCCTCGTTCAATTCGTGGACACGTTCAGCCTAACCAAAAGAGATCAGAATTAGTGTTGCAGTGAATGGAGTTAATTGGTTGGTTTTGATTTGGGCGGTGTTAGCGCCACAGTTGTCACCTTTGCCGTTACTTCAGCACTAATCTCATCTTGAGTCTCTGCTAATCTCTTCTTGGCCAGCTCGGTCCTGCGGTCACAGTCGGCGATAAAAGACTGAAGGTGCTCAGCAGCCTGAAAACCAACATGCAAGATCTTTTGGTCAGTAGCTATGTGCCACTGTGGTTTTCTTTAATGAAAATGCATGATATAGCTGTTAAGTGCAGTAGAACCTATGTGGGGCTCTTCTTCACTCCTGGAGGGTCACAGGAAATCACAGGTGTGTGTGTGTTTTACGGTAGTCTTAAGAAGACAGGAGGGTTTGGTTAAGAAAGTGTGTCATCGCTCAGATCCTACCTCAGCCTGGTTCTTACCTAAAGATTGTATTTGTGGTTGCACATTTAAGACAACAATCCTTAATTCCTCATTTAAGAAAAAGGGCAACCAAGTTTCTCCTCATGGGATAGGAGGGTGAAACCCACAGTTGTCTAGCATGGACTGAATGGGTGACGACAGGGAAATGGCAGTATACTGTGATTAAAAATTTTTTAAACGGTATAATGGATGGACTACTGATCTAAAACAACATGGTGTGACTAACTTTTTAACAGTGACGCTGTAGGCGTAATGCTTTTATCTCTATGTACGTTACGTGGTGTATATTCTTCACTTCAAAGTTGTAGGTATTTTTAAAGGCATCGACCCTTGGCGCATTAGATCGTACAGGTTTCACTCTTGCTGTGTGATGTCGGGTTTGTACGCTGCGTGCAAAGGCTTCCATGTCTGAAGGCAGGTGGTCAAGTGAGACTGAGGTCAAGAGGCAAAACAGTCGCAAAGTCTGCTTTGTGTTCATAACAATGGCGAACACCTGTGCTGTTCACGGTTGCTCTAATCGCTCAAATGGAGATCTGAAATCTTACTGTGTGATACTGGCAGTAATTCTAGACCGGGGATGGGGGAGCGAATAAGTTGTGTGAGAGATGACGAGCACAATGGCTTTGAAATCTTTGACATGACCACTTTACATGATGACAACATACAAGGACTGATCACTTTATGTCAGGGACTGTTTCATGTGCGGCTCGCGACCAAAGCTAGTGTGAAATGCTTTGACGTACAGCAAGAAGAGTTTATCCAGAGACCAATAATTTAACGAATGACATTTTATACCATTAAAGTAGTGATCAACATACTGTGTCACGAGACATAGATTGTTGTGGTGATCTTTCCCTCCAACCAACTTCAGTTTTTCTATACAACGACTTCAAATGACTGGTTCCAATGCGTCAATGGATAGGTGTTCCAATAGGGACCTTATTCACAAAACTAAACATAAGTAGACCAATAACTAACAATATTAAGATAAGGCGTGTCTTCTTGTTTTCCTTTTGCGTGCATGCCTTTAAAACATACTGACCAGAAACTAAGCTTTGTGGTTTAAGTGACATCAAAATTAAGCATCTATACTGAGTGTTAATAGCAGGTCATTTTGACTTGTATCTCCCCACAGTAGACTTAATGACTCACATCAAGCTCAAAAAAGTATTCATGCTCCTTAGAGGCAATCTCGAAGTCTGCTCTGAGGGCCAGGTCATGGACTTTCACACACTCTCCAAGGTCCATTCTCTATAAGGACAGAACAAATGAGTACATAAAAAACAGCATTCATAACCTTATTAGATGCAGTACATGTGCACGTGCGAGTGAGTGATACTCACAGTGCCCGACAGTATGTCATGAGGGCAGGAATCCAAAAGGTGACTTTTACACACCCGGTCATCTGAGAATTTGATTCTCTGCCTCATGGTGTCTCCTATTGAAAGACATTTTAAAGCATCGCTGTCAATATTATACTCACCACTTTGCACTTATACTATAAAAAAAGTACTTTTGCATCATTAGACAACATGTCATTATAGACGAGTGTACATTTGGTATTTCTCACTTTGTGTTAATAGTACAAATTTTGTTGTAGATTACTGTATATGTATTTTGTGTGTATTATAACCCCAAATTCAACCTCTGAAAACGCATTTTTATTTAGATCTAAGATCATGTTGATACATTCTCAATGGTACGCTTTTTGTTCGACATTATTTACACGAGTGTTTGTGTGTTAATTAAACATTGCTAAGCTATTCCATGTCTCTCGCCGGATGGCAGAAGTTAAATTTAATTTAGGTGCACTTCGTCGAGCCACACACAGGCGTAATTACCGTGTAGGTTCCCACGAAAATTGAACGAAAGACCGTGAGTCGTGAAAAAATAATCCACATAACATTTCAACGATATTTTAAAGCCAACTTTAATACTAGACTTGACATGTGAACAACAGGTAGCTAACTAGCCTCATGACTGGCAAAGCATGCAAGCCCTAGTTAGCAATGCAGCTTACGCTAGCACCAACATAAACTCAATGGCACAGGCTAATGTTAGCACACAACATGAACTCCTGTCGTTAGACTCTATTTGACGACACGCAACAAATGTCATGCTTACCGTCTCTCCCCGTCCCCATGAGCTGGTCCAGCATCGCTCGCATCTGAGCCTGGGCCGACATCTTTGTGGCGAGTAAGTCCCTTCTCGGCCGCGGTCCTCACACATGTAACCCTCCTCGGTTTCCTAGGCCTCGCTCCCCAACTTTCTCTCCCACAAGTAGAAACTTTAAGCTAGGAAGCTGAACGTGCGCTGATATATTTTAGTACTCGTGGGCGTCGTTGAAAAACACCCCACTCAAAAAAGTGACTTTGTGACCGGGTTGAAAGAATGCTAAGAGCCTGTTTGAAAACTGGCGGAGGAACCGGGTCGTGTGGAGAAATGATAGAGCGTTGACTACACGTCAACGCAGGCTAGGGCAGGCTTTGGTTTAAATTGGTTAAATCGATGCTCTAAATAAGTCACAACTTCCTTTGTAACATTGTGTATGATTGTCGCCCGTCGGCTTAAAGTTGGCAAGTTTAGCTTCAGCGTCCTTTCTTCCGTCTTTCGACTTCCCGTCCCCGCGCGTTCTCGCGTAGACAGCGCGCGCACCGCTACTTCCGGCTTGAGGCAGTTGCTGCGCGTTTACCTATAGCCATCGTCTTTTTTCATATTTTGCAGTAAGGTTTTATAGTTTAGCTACATAAATGCTATACCGTATAAACAATATGTATAATATTTCACCTCTACTGGACTATGCTGTGAAACAGCTCTACTTTTAACACATGAATAAATATATTGTGAATTCAATTGTGGTTGCTGACGATAGTGAGTAATACGGAGTTCGAAGGTCTTGGTTTAACAGCATTTAAAGTCATTCAACTTCGACCTCGTGTATGATAAAGGCTGCAATGAAACCCGACGTCATCAAAAGGAAACACCCAGTACGTCATTTAGTGATACCGCCCACAGTTTTGACACTGGGAAAATGGCGACGAGTGTTTTACGGTTCTCCCTACGACCCATAGTCAGGAACGCGGGCCTGCTTCGTCGTAACAGCGATTCGAAAACACCATATCTAAACAGGACGGCGCAAATCAGAAGTGTGGTTTCGTCGTCGTCGGGTGCAATCCTACCGAAACCGGATAAAGTAAGTGTTTTGGGAGGCCGTCTTGTCAAGGCGAAGAAACATGACTAACCGGGTGGCGGAACCTAAAATATATGACATCTCCTTTGGCCAATCGATGTGCTGATATGGGTCCACGTCGTCAAATGAGCCAATGAAGGCGTATTTACACAAATTAGAGGCAATACCAGGAAGTTTTTTTTTGTCTAAAATATAATGGCGGACACTGAACCGACTCATTTCTGGAAATATGTCATTAAAATTGTGGACTGTTAATCTTGATGAGCTTTTAAAAAAAGGTTCCAAACAAATAGTGTCTTTTTTCCCCGATGCAATTTTTGGTCCAGCACAAATGTAACGCTTTCATATCATAAAATTGACTAATATACAATACTGTACGCCTTTATTGTTGAGTCAAGTGAATGTCATTTAATTCCCAAATATTTTTTTTCACCTCGTGCTTAGATGTCGAACAGGACGCACAGTACTGTTTGCTAGTTAATATTAACCTTCCCCCGTTTGATTTTAATTACTAAATTACGACCATGTGTAGTTATCGTAATCCGATTAGCGCTCAAACACTAGTTGATTATCCGATCATATTATGAAAAAAGCTTTACAGCTCATTGGATGGCACGTCACAATGCAGATGGAAACAGGCACAAAGCATACTGCGAAAGCAATCAAGTTTTGAAGGAAAAGAAATGGAAATGTGTGAAATTACCTAGTCAGTTACTTGACCTTAATCCGATTGAACATTCATTTCACTTTGTGAAGACAAAACCTTAAAGAAAGTGCCTAACGAACATGGAGGAACTGAAGACTTCTGCTTCTGGTGATGTACATGAGTTTGAGATTTAAGGCTTTCCCCGATTTTCAAGAATTTTCAGCAAAGTATTAAAGGATGACAATCTGAATAATGATTGTTGGTTTGTACAATTATTTTTGGTCCCTTAAAAAAGTGGAGCCGCATATAAAATGTGTTGTAATTCCTACATTCCTAACATGCTGTGGCACAGTGGTTGGGAATCATTGTTTGAATAGAACAACGTAATGTCTGAGATGGAGTTTGAAATTTTATCATCATTTACTCCCATCTTTTAATTCTAACGTCTATATGTCCTCTTTTCCCTTGAGACGCCCTTTGGTCTCATTCGAATGACTGCAGTGGTGGTGCCATTCCTCTATGTGGGAACTCTGATCAGCAAGAACTTTGCCGCTCTCTTGGAGGAGCATGACATCTTCGTCCCGGAGGATGATGATGACGATGACTGAACTGATTTAAGACATGCTGATATATGTGACCTTATGTAAGCCATACACAATTTGTACTATTTTACTTCATTGCATTGTATGATACAACTTGCCCTAACTGTTTTGTTTTTTATTACGTACAGGGTGCATTGCTGAGTGGAAGAATATCATAAGGCAAAAGGAAAATGAGGAAGATGAGCGACACATGTCCTTCCTTCCATCCATCTACCTCTGCCCATCTCACTCCTCTGTCTTTTTGTGTGTCACCTAAACATCCATTTTCTAATTCGCTTATCTTCACAAGGGTCACGGGCTTGCCGGAGCCTTCACCTAAACATATTTCAATAATTCACATATCATGTGAAACTGACATAAAGGAAAGCCTTCACTCTTGTTTGCATGTTTGCATCTTGTGAACTCAATTAAAGTGAGTCATTACAATATGAAAACGTGTCCTTGTCTTTGCATGGTGGTGTCACAAATTTTGTTGCATGACACAGTTGTTTTGCGTGGTATTTGCTTTATTTGTCTTTTACTGAGATCTCTACTTGTTTCATTGCTTCATTGTTCACAGCTCTCCCTCGCTCTCTCCTGTCTTGCGGCATCGACCAATGTCAAGTGTTCATTGAGAGAGTCCATCTCCAACCTGTTTCGGCACCTCAAGTCACTGAGCTCGACATAAGACTCCTTGTAGCGCTCATAGGCTGCCTCCTTCTCCTGAAAGAAAACATTTGAACAGTGGATTAACCACTCCATGTGAATAAAATGTAGCATATATCCAGCGGCCACATCATAAGGTACATCTGCACAATTTCAAGCAAAATTCTGCCTTTAAAACATTCTTTAGTTCTGATTGTCATTTTCATATTAGGTCAAGCATATGTTACTTCAAATCATCTTCATTGGACAATTACTTTAAATTGTATTAGCAGTAGTTGGAGTCACACCATTACTATAGCAATAAAAATATCGTTCATATAGTACATTAAAGCAAAATGTTCAGTCATGCAATAGTTGATACTGATCAGCTATTATGGCACCACTTTATGTTTACTATTATGTAGAGCAAATTTATTCTAAATGCAACAATAAACAATGAAAAACGGCATTATTATCGTTTAAAAGGCACAATTTCTATTACAGCTCTTGTCTTGGACCTCATTAGATTGTGCCGGTGTACCGACACACTGGGGCCAGTGGCGAGTCGTTTATATCCATACCTTCGTGAGAGACTGGACTTCACTTTGCAGGCAGCTGACCTGCCTCTTAAGAGAGTGCACTTCATTTTCTTTGGCTCTGAGCAGCGTCTGAAAGGCAAGAATTTGAAGGCGCTTGATTGTGTTTTGGACTGAGGATGGGGAACAGCAGAATAAAAAAAAACAATGTGTGTTCCTTGAAAGCTACTTAATATACATACTCTAGATGTATGATGTGTTTTTTTTTATTTTATATAAAGCAGGACAAAGTAGTTAATACTTGCACCACCTTGAATTAAAACTACAAAGTCTTTTCCTTGCTGCAATCTTTGAAAGCAGTCACAATCGCCAAAGAGTGGAATTTGACACTATACACACACACACACACACACGCACACACACACACACACACACACGCACACACACACACACACACACACGCACACACACACACACACACACACGCACACACACACACACACACACACGCACACACACACACACACACACACGCACACACACACACACACACACACGCACACACACACACACACACACACGCACACATACACACACACACACACACTACACAAGTAACAAGAAAAGTAATGCTGATGAAAAAGGTACATTTATTAGATGGTATAAAAATACTGTAAAAACAATGATTCAGTACTGTGATGGACTACAATGATTTCAAGGGCTTCATAGGTATTTCAACGAGTGCCCTATAAACGGATAAACAAAATAAATCCACCTTGATGAACGGGGATTTTATGCTTTTATGCATGGAATACAATCTGGCGAGAACAAGATTCGCATTTCCCACTCTTTTGAGATGGTCCATTCGAGAGAGCTTCGCCGATAAACCAGTAGATGGCAGTGTATACTGCTCAAACGGACCAAACATGGGCAACTTAACAAGGCCGCGATGAAGAGAGGAGTGTGATAATGATGCATCCGGGACTCATTACTGGGATGGAAGACAACACATTAAGCAAACTTGCTCAAACAATTTGTCTCTTTAAATTGGGTCCAAAATCCCTCAGCGCCCATCTGCCAAATCCAATTCCAGGCACAATTAAAACAAAATGCCTGGATGCGGTGGGCTATACTTCCCTACAGTTTTTATGTAAGAGTCAAAATTGTGTAGGTTTGAATTTCACCACAGATTACTGCTGTCAATACCTCAACGTCTGATGCCACGTTGCCAAGGGATAGCACATCAGGTCGCTGTCCTGTGATGAAATAACGCATGCGGCTAATCTCTTCCGCCAGCTTGACTTTAAGCTCCTGCAAAAAAAAAATAAATTACATGCTTTGATTGATGAGGTACAGTAATCTTGCACAATCAAATGGGGCGAATATAACTTAAATTGTTTAGTGCACTCTATTGAGGTATGGCCATTGACCTGGTTCTCTTTCCAAAGCTGTTGCAACTCTCTCTCTTTGCAGTCGAGATCATTTTCTCTTCTTTGGCCGCTCTGCTCGGTGAGGGTCAGCTGCAGACATTTCTCAGAGAAACGCTCAGACAACACATCCAACTCACTGTGCCACACGTCTACCGGCGGCCTGGCAAACACAAATACGGTAGCATTTGTGCAGTGAATTGGAACACATGGAGACAGAGTGTCAGGGTGAAAACATGATTCCTTACACGTGTCCTCTGCAAGGTGCCTCCATGTGTGCGTCTCCGCCAGGTATCCGCCTGGCCTTCTCCAGCTCCTCTCTGTGGGCTGCTCTCAGAGCCTCCATGGCTGTAATCACAACATTTGCTCGTCAGAAAATGATTCCTGCCCTCGTGCTAAAACATCACAAGACACGCCGATACGCAGCTCATTGCCATCAGATTCCTGTTACCATGGAAGCTGTTCACTTTTTATGACCAACTCACTGTATACCGTTTTGGGATGTATCACCCAGGATTGTAGTTGACAATCGGCAGGGATAAGCACGATAGACTTTTGACACAACCTTCAGCAGAAGCCTGACGCTCCTCCTGCAGCATTTTGTCTCTTTGTCCCTCTAACTCGCTGAGCTCTCTCTCGTGTTGCTCCTGCAGCTCCTGCACTTCTTTCCGATGGGCTGCTTCCATGGCCTCAAGCTGGGCCCCACAGGGGGCCCCGGGTCCACATGGACTGTCCACTTTTATCACCATGGCTGCGTAGTCTCTCTTTGTGCTCTCCATTTGCTTTCTCGCCTGGATGATGAAAATAGAGAGGATAAATGAAAGTACGAATGCAAGTAAATTTTTCATTTTTATTCAAATGGCGATAATGTCATCCACAAAAAATGGATGGAGGGCAACTTGACTTCTGGGTTGTTGAAGACGTTTCATCTTTAATTAAAAAAAAATGAGCTGAAGATGCCTTTTGTTTTAAAGATGAAACATCTTCAACAACCAAAATGTCAATTTGCATCTGTGAATTCCAGGAGGATGTTTGGCCTTCGAGCAGTAGACATCTCAGTCTTTCCAAATAAATCATGGAAACAGGATTAAGCTAAATATCAAACTCTCGACATCACAAAAATGAGAGCAAACTATACAGATAATTAAACAGAAATTATGCAAATAACTGATGCTGTTATGAAACAATAAAACTAGTAGTGAAGCTCACATTTGATGATTTTTTTTCTTGAAAAAAAAACCAGTGCAAAACAAATGAGAACTATAGATTCTCATTTGAGATATAGGAGGAAGTCTGAACCTAAACTAGCACCATACTTAAAAATGCCTTCAGTCAGCTTGATTTTGTTGTGAACTGGAGCAAAGTTCCATGAGTTGAACAATGTTTCATTTTGAATCAAGACTGGTGTGGTAATCTGGCGTTTCTGGCGATTACCCGGTGGGCCGTGCTGCGATATGTTCTGTCGCAATTCGTTTTGAAATCAGCAAAAAAAAAAAAAAAAAAAAAAAGGGGGGGGGGGTATTCGTAATACAGTATTTAAATCGTGTCATGTTCTCATGCAACTGTACTAATAATTATCACTCATAGGCAGACCATAATCTTATACGTACAAAGTATATAGCACTGGCTGCACTGCACTTAGGGAGTCATCAAAAGTAGTAATAATTTAAAACACGACCAGATACAACTCCACTGTAACTACTGTATATTATACTGTACTCTGTCTGCACAAAATAACACATAAAAGAGGCATAACAGTCAAAAGTGTTACTTGCAAGAGTAACAAAGCAGCAAGCAAAGAAAGCCTCTGTGCAATCAAAAAGCTATAGCCATACTTCGCCAAGTGCACCGGAAGTGGTGAGAATAGTTTTTCACAAGAGTGACGTGCCTTGTTAGCTGCCTAAATTTTGCCAACTTTACAGCATTTGATAACTTGACCTTGCAAAGTGTAACGTGTCTTTTCCCATGTTGCGTACATGTGCCTATTGGTCCCTTTTTGTCTGTTTTTACTATTTATGTTCCTCATATTTGCTCAAATAAACTCTGATCATGATCTTGTGAGCACACTCAATTGTAATTGGGATTTTTGATGAAATACAATATGAATAGTGTTAATGGGAATGGTAAGATCGTTCAGATTCAAACACTAGTAAGGGGAAAATTGTATCTTCACTTTAAAATGTTGTGAACCTAAGTGAGCAGGTCTAAGATATGAAAGTCCAGCGCTGAAAATGAGTCTCACTTCAGCCCAGCAAGTAAGAGTGTCTCAATATACGTTGTCGTTTCCTCACCTCCTTCGGAAGGGCTTCGGCTGTGTTTGTTTGAACAGTGTGTGACCCGTTTAAAGTTGCGGGAGCCTTCCTCCAGCAGTCAGTTGGTGAACTGGTGACAAACGCTTCATCCTTATCAGTCCTTGACTGACAGGTCTGGGTGTCAACACGGGAATCAGAGGCCAGCCACGTGATCGTTTGATACGCCTGGGCTCCGATGAGTGACTGCGCGCTCATGTCCTTAAATGACAGCCTCTCAAATTCCGTCCACTTCCTGCTGACCTCCGAGTCCATGGTGTCAATGACGGGCACAGGCACACTCCCCCTCTTCAGCTGCATGCAGTCCCACCGCCTGCCCACCTCGCTGAAGGGGACAGCGTCCTCAAACCACTTGTTCCTTTCTTCCAACCGCTTAGCCCAATCGCGGTCCCAACCCTCCTCCTGTTCTTCTTTTCTCTGGGGGTCTGAGCTCACCTCCTCATGCACGTCCGCATCTGTTGGCGGATGGAGGCCTTCGGCTGTGTTGTTGGAACCTGCAGGCTCAAAGCCGGAGCAGGTGAAGCGAGCAGCCGGTTGG